AATTTATAACACGCATAAAATGTATAATTTTTTTTTAAATTATGAGCATTGAAGTAGTGGCATATCTTTTGAAATAACTAAGCATATAACTTTGCCTAGTCTTCATGAGAATATAAATATTTATCAACTTCCAATGTGTTCCACTAAAATCTAGTCATTTTTTCATAAAATTACACCCTTAACAAGTTACAATGACCTTTATTACGTACTTTTGCAATTTATATTTAAAAAAAAACCCGAGCCGGCTCGGCCTGGACTAAGGCTCTGGCCGAGCTTAATTTTTTTTGGCCGGGCTTGGCTCGGCTCGGGCCGAAAAAAGCTCGAGCTCGCTCGACTCGACTCGTTGACATCACTATTATTTATGCATTTTTTTTTATTATCTACATATATTTCATGGTACTATTTAATTTATCTGTACACAAACAAAGTTTAAATTCAAAAAATGGTCAAATTAATTGTGTCACGAAATGTTATTTAAGCCTCCATATGGCTGATGGCAAATTTATAAACTAGTTAAACTTTATTTTTAATCACACATTCTAATTAATTTACAAGTACTATTTACTTATCCACCGCTCATTTCTATTTATTATTTATAAATTCTTCCCAAATGGAGGCTAAAGCATTCTCTTTGTTTGCTTTGGTCGTGTAGTGGCTTTGCTTGTTACTTGTTAGGAGAAAAATAATTGAAGAATCCAATTTATAAATAGTACTTTCAAGCAAGAATGCAGGTGCAAAGAAGAAATCAACTGGAGTGCCACTAATATACATTTCATCTAAGGGCTTAAATAACTAATCAAATCATGTTTCAGCCTTAGATAAGATTTATGTTATGGCAAGGTTAGGACGTCACATTATATGAGCAAAACCCATCGATTTATACGTTTGTAACGACAAAAACAGTAGACCAAGCCATCATTATTGAACTTCTTTTACGTAGGACGAAAACATGAATAATACTAGAAGTTTTTGTTCGTAAATCATAACACGAGAGTGATTGTTGCTTGAATTTCGCTCGAAGTTTGATAACGTCAACGGACAAAAATGTGCAAAATTAAAAAATGCTTTCAAATTGTACCGACGCACAAAAATCTAATAATCGAACTGAAAGTTACTCACGGTTGTAAATTCTTCTTATTTCTTCTATTTTTTAATTGATTTATGATTTTTTCTTCGAACTATTTCGCATCATCTCCCAAAGATAGGTGAAGTAATCTTCTAATGAAAATGATATCTAAAAGTGGTTTGACATTCCATTCATCCCTACATCTACTAATAGATCAAACATAACTAAATCTGGTAAAGTAACCACAGACAATATTAATTAC